ATATACATACACATATATATATATATACATACACATATATATATACATATTTACACATATATATACATATATACACATATATATACATATATACACATATATACATATATACACATATATATTCACATATATACATATATATATACATATATACACATATATACATATATATATACACATATATACATATATACATATATATATACACATATATACATATATACATACATATATACACATATATATACATATATATATATATATATATGTATATATATATATATATATATATACAGTGCCTTGCAAAAGCATTCAGGCCCCCTTGAACTTTTCAACCCTTTGCCACATTTCAGGCTTCAAACATAAAGATATAAAATTTTAATTTTTTGTGAAGAATCAACAAGTGGGACACAATCGTGAAGTGGAATGAAATTTATTGGATGTGTCAAACTTTTTTAACAAATAAAAAACTGAAAAGTGGGGCGTGCAATATTATTCGGCCCCCTTGCGTTAATACTTTGTAGCGGCGCCTTTTGCTGCAGTTCCAGCTGCAAGTCTCTCGGGGTTTGTCTCTATCAGTTTTGCACATGGAGAGACTGAAATTTTTGCCCATTCTTCCTGCAAAACAGCTCGAGCTCAGTGAGGTTGGATGGAGAGCATTTGTGAACAGCAGTCTTCAGCTCTTTCCACAGATTCTCGATTGGATTCAGGTCTGGACTTTGACTTGACCATTCCAACACCTGGATACGTTTATTTGTGAGCCATTCCATTGTAGATTTGTCTTTATGTTTTGGATCATTGTCTTGTTGGAAGATAAATCTCCGTCCCAGTCTCAGGTCTCTTGCAGACTCAAACAGGTTTTCTTCCAGAACGGTCCTGTATTTGGCCCCATCCATCTTCCCATCAATTCTGACCATCTTCCCTGTCCCTGCTGATGAAAAGCAGGCCCAAACCATGATGCTGCCGCCACCATGTTTGACAGTGGGGATGGTGTATTCAGGGTGATGAGCTGTGTTGCTTTTACGCCAAACATATCGTTTTGCATTGTGGCCAAAGAGTTGGATTTTGGTTTCATCTGACCAGAGCACCTTCTTCCACATGTTTGGTGTCTCCCAGGTGCTTGTGACAAACTTTAAACAACACTTTTTATGGATATCTTTGAGAAATGGCTTTCTTCTTGCCACTCTTCCATAAAGTTCAGATTTGTGCAGTGTACGACTGATTGTTGTCCTATGGACAGACTCTCCCACCTCAGCTGTAGATCTCTGCAGTTCATCCAGAGTGATCATGGGCCTCTTGGCTGCAGCTCTGATCAGTCTTCTCCTTGTTCAAGATGAAAGTTTAGAGGGACGGCCGGGTCTTGGTAGATTTGCAGTGGTCTGATACTCCTTCCATTTCAATATGATTGCTTGCACAGTGCTCCTTGGGATGTTTAAAGCTTTGAAAATCTTTTTGTATCCAAATCCAGCTTTAAACTTCTCCACAACACTATCTCGGACCTGCCTGGTGTGTTCCTTGGTCTTCATGATGCTCTCTGCACTTTGAACAGAACCCTGAGACTATCACAGAGCAGGTGCATTTATACGGAGACTTGATTACACACAGGTTGATTCTATTTATCATCATCAGTCATTTGGGACAACATTGGATCATTCATAGATCCTCACTGAACTTCTGGAGTGAGTTTGTTGCACTGAAAGTAAAGGGGCCCAATAATATTGCACGCCCCACTTTTCAATTTTTTATTTGTTAAAAAAGTTTGACACATCCAATAAATTTCATTCCACTTCACGATTGTGCCCCACTTGTTGTTGATTCTTTACAAAAAATTAAAATTTTATATCTTTATGTTTGAAGCCTGAAATGTGGCAAAAGGTTGAAAAGTTCAAGGGGGCCGAATATGTTCTCAAGGCACTGTAAATAAACTGAATTGAATTGAAATCGAGTGTTGGCAGTCAGGTGACCAGCGAGCCGACAGCCTCATGAACACTGTTCACCAACTACTTTCCGTCCAGTAAGACAGAACCTTAAAGAAAATTACATGAAAGCAATGCCAGCTGTACTCTACATGTTTAACTATTTCCTTACATCAACTTTTAATGAGATTTCCACCCGTTGGTGCCACAAAACAAACACTTCAGACCCAGTAAATATCTCTGCTCTATTTGTGGAACAGACAAATCTACAGTAACTGACTGTAGGCATGCCTCTAAGGTGTGCACCCCTGTTACTTCTCCTTAAGGGATGTCCAGAGGTTTGCATTTTCACACAGAGATTGAATTAGGGTCCGTTTGAAGAGAGAGGGGTCCCTGTCAGGTCCAAAGGTGGAGGCTTCTCTGAGCTGCCGACTCTCCGAGGTTCGAGGGATTTTAATCACACACCAAAATGTTTGCTCTGGCCTTTCTCAGGCTGCTGCAGCTACAGAATGGGATACACTGAAAACAACGCGCTGATTGTTGTTACAGTAACTTATACATGTGAATGCACAGGAACTCTGCTGATGTCATTAGGAATGGACCCAGATTAAGGATATAGCCGTTGTCAGGGGATTGTTAATATCGCTCTGCAGAAATGAGAGAGTACAAACTAAACAAAGAGGATGATTGGAAAATGAAGGGAGTGTGTGTGCTGAGGAGCACTTACATCTGTTATCATTTTCCCCCTGGTCTTGTTTCTCTCTCTGTGGTTGGCCCTCTTCTGTTTCTGTTGCAGCACGCGCTCTCTCGTTGTGCGATACTCCAGGGCAAACTCGCTCAGGATTTTACTGAAGCGATGAATGCTGACCTCGCGGACGGCGTATATCGGATGGCCGAGGAACAACAGAAAGGCATGAAACCTGCAGATGTGAAGAGCATCCATGTGTAGACGTTCAAAAACACACACTCTGCTGATGTGAGTTGACACTAAAACTTGAGCGTTACATGAAACATTTCATGCAGTTTACAAACATTTAGCACAAAAGCGGAAGAATCTTGCTTTGAATGAATCTAAACTTAGACAAACCTGTTGAGGATTCTGCGGTGTACAATTTTGAGGATTATGATTCTTTCCGCGCAGTCTTTGAGGAAATCGGACATCTTTTGCTTTAATGCTGGTTTCATCTCGTGTTTTGCAATGACTTTCAGGTGATCCCATGATGCTTTGCACCGTCGCTCCATCTGAGCCAGATTATCCTGAAGCTGGTCAAAGTCCACCTGAGAGCCAAATCCCAAATCGTTAAAAGACTCTTCATTTTGGTGTTAACACACAGAAAACAACAATGATGGAGATGTTGGTTTGACCTTGGTCAAGCGGGTGATGGCACCAATCTCCGAGTAAAGATCTGTGCTGTCTGGAAACTTCTCGACCACAATGGAGCAGGCGTGGTGCAGCAGCGACTGCTTGTGAACTGTGTCCTTCACCTCTGGGACTTTCTCCAAGTAACTCAACTCAAAGCCTTTGGCCTGCAGGTCCATAAACACAAAGAGAAACACGGTGAGCATGTGCACAGAAACAGCTCGGTGAAATCACTAATCTGGAGCACTTGCTCCTGCAACAAATTGCAGTGAATTTCCTTTCTGGCATAGTTAGAAGAAAAAAAACAAACAAAGAAACTCAATGGTGTGCGCAAACCAGATATTTAGATTCACGAGACTGATATGATCAAAAACTATGATATATTCAGGCCAGACTGATTATTCTTCTGAGCAGAGTAAAGCAAAGCAGGTCAGAATTCATCACGAAGAACATAATTCTAACAGGGTCCGCCTTGTTCCTCTGCCAGCTTTAAACAGCTAACTGCAAAATATAAAAGCAGCAGTTATTTACGGGAACCGCTTGTTTTGATGTTGATGACTCGTATTTCCCCCTTTGGTCGTTTGGCTTTCCAATCCCAGAGGCTCACACACACAGCTGCACACACACACATACTGTACATGTGATGAAGTGAGAACAAAAGCACAGAAACACGAGCTCACATAAGCACCCAGACGAATGTGAACTTCCAAAAAATACACAACCTCTGCCCCTTTTTATTCCTCACTAGACAGAGCCAGACTCAGCAGAAGCTGAAATGAGTATTTTTACAACAGGAGGATGGTGTGGGCTGCACACACACACACACATACACACACAGGCCAGTCGTCTTGTCTAAACCCGTGGTTCTCAAACTGGGGTCCCCAAACCCCTGGGGGCGCGAGCTGGTGCTTGGGGGTCCGCATAAAAATAAAAATAATAAAAATAATAATTATATATATATATATATATATATATATATGTGTGTGTGTTTTAGAAGCACACAGATGCTCAACAACCTGTTAAAATACACCAAAATGCAGGAAATCCCATCTACTTTATTCAAAATTTTCTTGGGGAGGACCCCCCATCCACCCACTATTTGCATCCCAGCATCAATCGGTTTACAATTTAAGCCCTGTTACTTGGTATGACTACTGCTGTTATGATTCTGTTCAGTTTTATGTAAGGAGTAATAATTTATAATAATTTGATGAAGTGGCGATACATTTTTGTTCAGTATGTGAATAGGTAAAGTTGTAAAGTGATTGTTGATGCTGTTAATTTTCTCAAAACTGTAATTTGTGGAAGTTGGAATACAAAAAATTGTTAATTAAGTGTGTCTTGAATGAAAAATACTCCATGTTTAAAAGTATACTGTTAAAGAACAGGTCTTAAGTATTTATGTTACACAAATATTTCCATTGCATTAAAGAGACAAATTGAAGAAACTAATATTTAATAAACATGAGGGTTATGAGGAGGTCCCTGAAACTTTTGTCCCCTTTTCTGTCCCTGAATCTTAAACGTTTGAAAATGCCTGATCTAAACTAATGCTGGCTGATGATAATGAGGTAAGAAGAGCTAGAAGAAAATACAAAGTAACAAATAAGAACATTTCAGGGAGTCTTGACTTATTTTTACTTACATTTGAACCATTAAGGAAGTTACCAATAGCCAGCAGAGTGGTTAAAATGTATCTGAGTGTTTTATTTTTCTCTAATTGGTCCATTCCCTCCTTCAGGTCTTGCAAAGGTTCTGCCACTTCCTAAAAGAAAGAAAAAAAACACATCCTCACTCTTAATATTCATGATTTCTGGTCTCCTTGCCTCCTAAAAAGGAAACAAAAAAAAAACGGTAGCTTATTGAGCTTAACTTGATAACTTGTAGTTATGTAACAAATGAGGAGACAGTAACGTGTCCAACCTTCTCCAGAAGCTCATAGTCCATCTTGAACGCCCACAGCTGCAGACGAGCTGACAGCTCGGTGATGGAGGAGAGGGTGAGCAGGAACTGCTCTGCACTGCCCAGAGGAATGTCCGGGTTCATCAGCTGAGCCTCCTGGATCTTCTGCTTCTCTTCCTCCGTGGGGATCATTGTGAGGATTTTCTAGAAGGACAAGATGAGAAGATATGGCTTAGAAAGTCATTTATCAGTAATATAGTTTTATCTGCCTGTATCAGATTTGTACATGGTATGTCTGTATATTTGTAGCTCAGGTTTTCTAAGCTGTTTCCAGCTTTCCCACAAAGTTGTCTGACATCTGAACTTTTAACCTTGCTTTTGTTGTCCTGCTGCAAATACCTTCAGAGGAATAAAATCTTGGAGGAATCTCCTCTCTGCTGAAAATAAACTCAGGGAGAAGCTCTAAACAGCAGCTTATATAACTAAAGTATGCAGGATTAACTGTTACCTGCTGAAATGAAGTCCTTCAAATACCAATCATTCAGTTTTTAACATGAACTCAACATAACCTCTAACAACCATACATGAAAAAGGTTACATATGCAGCCAGACAAATCTGACAAAATATCAACTGTGAAAAACTTTATGTAACAGATGAACAAGAAATGGTACCAGAGCATCGTTTGAAAGCACCTTAAGACTGCAGATTATATAAAAACGAAAGCTTACCTCAATGCCTTCCTTGTTTAGTGCATACTCATCAAAGTTAAGAATAGCTGTCTTTATTGTGCGAGGAGGAGGTAAAACCGTTAGTCCAATATTTATTGCGTTGCTGCGTTTTGAATCCAGGACAATGGTCTCTTGTCGTTTGCCATCAATTGCTGCTTTCTAAGAGATGTGGAAAAAAGTGTGAGATTATTATTTGAACCAGTTTATATTGAGTGAAATATGTAAGATGTTAGTAAAATCCACTTGCTGCTCTTTGGCAATTCTATTTCCATTTATCCAGTTTAGACAATATGCGCAGCGTTAGTATTTATTACTATCAGGAGGCATTTATGAAAATGTACAGTGTAGTAAGGAGTTCCTTATTTTTCTCTGTAAGGATGTGGAAAAAGTTCCCCAATTTATTTAAAAGCTACTTTCTGTGCCTTTTTTATGACAACTTTTGTAGGTTGCTTTGCAGGTGCTAGACTTGTTTGTAAAAATCAGTAAGGACATCTGACCTGTGAGAACTCAAGAGTGTTAGGTGGTTTTGGACAGAGAGACAGGTATTTTTGGACAGTCAAGAGACAGGCTTCCTGCAAAATAGAACAACTTTGCTTGTTTTTCTACTGAAACTAAAAATTAAACTTTGCCAAAGAAGAGAGAGAATTTTGAGAGCATATGGTTTAATAAAATATGCTAAGATGCTTTTATTTTAGCTTAGGGGTCCAACGTGTTTGGTGTAAATCTGACAGACTACAACCAATAAAGCAAAGTGAAGCATGTGGGTGAGAGTGTGATGTGTGGGGTTGCATGCCTTTAAAAGGAATAGATAACATTAGATTTACAGACTCCAGCCCTCCATTCATCCATCATCTGCTACTAGACCCAGAGCCGGGTCATGGGTGCAGCAGATTGAGCAGGGAGGCACAGACATCTCTTTCCCCAGCCACTTCTTCCAGCTCATCTGGGAAGATTTCAAGGTGTTTCCAGGCTAGCCGGGGTACAGTCTCTCCAGTGTGTCCTGGCTTTTCCCCCAGGGTCTCATCCCAGTTGAACATGCCCAGAAAATCTCCCTTCTGAGGCATCCAGGGGACATCCATACCAGAAGCTCAAACCACCTCAACTGGTTTCTATTGACGTAGCAATGCAGCAGATTCACTATAAGTTTCTCCTAGATAACTGAACTTCTCACTCTTTTTCTAAGGAAAAAGGTACCCTGCAGAAAAAAGTCATTTTGACCTCTTGTATCCACAAACAAATTATGTCTTTAAATGCCTGAACAACCTTGCCTCACCATGTCTGTCTGAGCTGCTTCAGCCTTACTGCCCTCCCCGATCCTTAAGATCAGCTGATCGGTTGCTGCCGACAGTCCCTAAAACTAGGCTGAAGCTCAGAGGTGACAGAGCTTTTGCTGTTGTTGCTCCCAAGTTATGGAACAACTTGCCCTTGAGTGTCAGACAGGCCTCCTCTCTTCCTGTTTTTAAATCTCTTTTAAAAACACACTTTTATTCTTTGGCTTTTAACACGTGATCTTATCTTTTAGGGCATCTTAAAACACACCTGCCGTGAACCTGGTTTGTGTATGTTTTTAAGTTTCTTTGTGTATGCTTTGTATGTTTTTATTGCCTTAATTATTTTGTAGTTTTGTCTTATTGTACAGCACTTTGGTTACCCCTGCGGTTTTTAAAACGTGCTATAGAAATAAAGTTTATTGATTGATTCTTTTGGTTACTAACCAGAGTTTGTAACCATTGGTGAGGGTAGGAACAAAGACTGACCAATAAACAGAGAGATTTGCCTCATAACTCTTTCGTTCTCTTCTTCACAAAAGAACTGCACAAAGTATGCAATACTGTACTGTGGAAGCCACACCAAACTGTGTTGATCTCACGACCCATTTTTCTGTTATTCATGAACAAAATCTCAAGATACTTAAACCTCTCCATTTGAGGCAGAATCTCACCCTCAACCCTAAGAGGGTAATTCACCCATTTCCGACCGAGGACCATGGCCTTAGATTTCGAGGTACTGGTGTTCATCCAAGCTGCTTCAGAATCAGCTGTGAATGACTCCAGTTAGCATTGAAGGTCATGGCACAATGACGCCAATAAGACCACATCATCTGCAAATAGCAGAGATGGAATCCTGAGGCCATGGATCAGACCCCTCCCATCCCCTGGCTGTACCAAGAAATTGGCAGAGTCTTACTCCCACCCTGAAGGGGTGTGTCTTACTGCCAGCAATGTGAACCAGACTCTTGCACAGTTTGTATAGCAACAGATGCCCAATCCAATATCTTCAAATCACCCTCCTCAACAAAACCTTGGGAACACTGTCTAATGCCTTCTCCAAGTTGACAAAACAATGTGGACTGGTTGGAAAAACTCCCATTTCCCCTCGAGGACTTGAGCAAGGGCAAATAGCTGGTCTAGTGTTCCTCTTAAATCCAAGTTATGACCACTGACTGGATTTTTTTTCTCCAGCACCCTTCCAATTACAGGGGAATCACACTCCTCAGCCTTGTCCTTCCTTTTGAATAGAGGAAACATCACCCAATCTACCAATCCAATGCATCTGATGTTACAAAGTTGTATGAACCAAAACAGCTCAGCAACATCCAGAGCTTTGAGAAACAAGGTGGCTCTCAACCACCCACAAAGCCCTGCCACCATGAAACTATTTTACTACCTTGGCAACCTCAGCCCTATTGATCCCCAAAGCCCTGCAACTCAGTCTCCTCCATGGAGGACATGCTAAGAAGGTCCTTGAAGTGTTCTTTTTACTGCTTGAGATTAGGAACGTTTGATAGACAAAGCAACTGAATCATAAAAGCAATGAAAACAATTCTGATAAAATTAAAACATCTCAAGAGAACATTTTAAAATCAAAATGTTCTCCAAACCAAGAAAGATGTGTCATGAACTCCAAATAGCTGTTTTGATACTTGTATTTTGGTTTTACTAAAACAGTTTTTAAATCTGTTTTAAACAGAGTTTTAATTTTTGAAAAACCCATACCTTTGTGACTGACAGCTCCTTGGATTTGGTCTCAAACAGCTGCTCCAGTTTAGAAGTGTCCAATTTAATTGGCTCCAGTTTGGCCCACATGGACTCCTTACAGAACTTATGATTCTTACACTGCCAATCCATAGGACGCACCTCGTTCCAGAACAGACGAATGGTCTTCTTCTTCTTTTGGAACAGAGGTGCCTCCCCACGCTTAAGGTGAGGGGAGGGGGGAGGAATGGGAGCCATAAATGGAGGGGGTGGGGGCATAATTTTGCCAAGAATGGGAGGAGGTGGGGGGCACCCAAACAAGGGTGGAGGTGGTGGGAGGGCAGAACCGAACGGTGTAGGGGGTGAGTCTATTACATTGTCCATATCTAAAATGTCCAAGTCGTCCTCGTCTTTTAGGTCAGTGAAGTCCATTTCTTTGATGCGCAGCTCCCTGGGTGTAGCCATCAGCTGATCCCAGATATGATCAGACTCCTTCTTGGGGGGTAAAGCAGACGAGGCTGACACTGATGGTTTGTCAGTCTGCTGTTGCTCTTTAGAGGCCTCTACCTCCTGTAGAGATGCTAGACCTTTGACTAAATCTCCAAACTTCTCTGCCACTGCTCGGACACTGCCATGGTTGTCCAGATGTCCCACCTCCATTTTTTTCACATTTTCCTCTCTGGCCTGTCTGTTCGCCTCCAGTGTGGAGATCTTGGTGACCAAACTACTCACAGAGTCGCTCATCTCCTTCTCTTTCTCACATTTACAGTTCTCCTTCTCAGACCCTCCTGCATCTCCTTTGTCCTCAGTGGTTGCCTTCTGAGCATAAAGCATTTCCAGCATAAAACGCTTGTTATTGAGAATCTTCTTGCATTGGTCATTCACATCAACCTCTTCTAGACTCCACTGGCCTGTTAGAGAAACAGTTTTCATGAGAGAAACGTGTGTACATTGTTATCAAGCATGTGTCATGAAAGTATAGTTTGTGGCTAGAATGGACCCAAATGCATGTAAGCAGTGGGCTACAATCCTGACTTAATTATGAATGCACTTTGGTAACAGTTCCCATTTTAAATGTGCTATACAAATACATTTGACTTGACTATTAAAAGAAGAAACCAACAAGAGAGTAACATGACATGAACTGGCGTTAAAAGGAATTAACACGAGGATCTGACCGTAAACTAAAGCCAAGTGATCTGTAAGGAACAGGAACCAGGAACTACTGAGGACATCAGAAGGGTGCAATCAATCATAATAACAGAACATAAATCAGCTGAATAGCTAAAATGAAATATAAGAAACTCAAACAGTTCAATACAGATAAAACCAGAAACAGATTCTACATTAACAATGTGAATAAATTATTTTTCATTCATTCAACCTTTATTTAAACAGGTTAATCCCATTGAGCCTCACGGACTCATTTACAAGAGAGACCTGATCTACACAAATGTGTGCAACTATTTTATGTGTGTGTGTTACTTTTTATTTCAATTTAATTGGTACAAGCAGTGTTTAAATGTGATTTACAAATAAATCTAACACAAAGATGGTTTAATGATTTAGCTTCAACTTTTAATATATTGGCAAAGTCTGAAGACACTGCAATGTATGGCAGGATGAATTGCATTTAAACAGGAATTACAGTAATTTCTTTCATCTACTCAATTGTGTGCAATTAGTATTATATATATATACTATAATTAATATAATCAAGCTTCAGTTGTACCTGATTTCATGTCATTGGTGATTTTCTCCTCTCGTTCCTCCCTCTCCAGAGTGCTGCTTGTAGAAGAAATGCTGGATGCAGAGCAGTTGTCCTTTTCATTCATCTCCTCATTCTGTCTCTCCTTCTCACTTAGCAGTAAGCTTTCTTCTACATCTCTTCCTGCTGGCTGCACCTTCTCAGACGCCTCCTCTACCACTACATCTACCTGTGTCTCTCTGACCTCTTGAACATCAGCTACTTCCTCTGTACTTTGCACCTGCTCTTGTGTCTCTTCTTGCTCTCTGTCCAACTCTTCATCCAGCTGTGCTGCTATATTCTCATCAGATGGAGTCTCTGCAGCATCTTCAGTCTCTGCATCAGTCTGCTGTTTGTCTGGTTCTTTGGGAGGTGCTGGGGAACATTCTGGTACGGATAACTCTGGTGCAGGACTTTTGGTTCTGGTCTGGGGGTCAAGCTTTGGACCTGATATGTGTTCTGCTCCTAGAAATGAAATCAAAACAATGATCAATCTATGAATTAAAAAATAGGGTCACAAATTGACTTAAATTCAACTCCTGCCCTCATTAAAACAAACAAACATTTTCAGTTCTCTTGTAATGAGTCCTCGAGGCTCACTGGGATTAACCTGTCTAAATAAAGGTTGAATGAAAAAAAACAACAATCAAAACACCATCAAGTGTAAAGCTCTGACTCATTTTTGACAGAAGGACTGCACCATATTAGGAAAACGTAATTTTGCTCTTATTGAATATTGCAATAACTATCAGTTGTGATGAACATTTCTTCTCTTTCATTATGATGCTTTTGAATATAACTGTGCATCTTTACTATCAATAAAATCAAGCATGGATATTGAGGAGAATGAGAATCCATACAACTCATTAAATAAATAATAATGTGCAAGAAAAATAATTGTCATATATTGGCCATAACAGTCTGAAAAGTTATTCAGTATTGAATTGTATGTACACTTATATTTTGATGACAATAAATGTAACTCGTGATGGCAAAATAAATCAAAATGAGCACAGGCTGCAGAGCAAAAAAATGAAAATATAGATTTCATGCTGTAATTGAGATTTGCATAAAAATGAGTGCCTAAAGACACCATCTAGCAATCCCAGTAAATGAAGTAGCATAACTCTAATCTGCCTTTAAATCAAAGTTTTTTTTAGAAGGAATGTCATCAGACTGATGAAGCCCTTCGGATAGAGGGCGAAACGTCTTTCCACAAAGAATAAACTGTTCAGATGACCTGACTGACCATTATTGGATTTTGTACCTGGATGATTGAACATGTACTTTGATGTCTTTAACTACTTTGGCTGTGGCTGCCTGCCTGCGAGGAGTCGACGGGGACAGGACAGCCTCCACTAAGTGTACTTCTTGGAGGGGAAAACAGTTTACTTGGGACTCCTCAGACTGACGAAGCCCTCCGGATAAAGGGTGAAACATCTTTCCACAAAAAAGAAACTGTTCAGATGACCTGACTGACCATTCTTGGGTTCAGAAATAAATGCTTTGTTTTAACCCTTACAATTTATTTTGAAATTGACAGTTTTTCTCTGCAGGCTGCCATAGCACCAGGAAATCCCCTTGTATAATGTTTGGTTTCTTTCCCTTCTTGAAACTATAGGGGGAAAAATCCTAATTGTGACAGTAACTATGCAATGACCAGTACTGTTGCTAATCTAAATGGCAAGGAATTATTTTTGTTATTACCTGAATTCTGTTGTGCAGTGGTGATGATGTCTTCCTGTGGCATAGAGGGTAAAGGTGCAACACAGCGTGATGCACAACGACTGGCTGGTGTTGGGCTCAGACACAGCGTGATCTCTGTTCGCCCCCGTGTTGGTGCTCTGGGGCGCTCTCGCTCAAACTCCTCTGCAGCTAACCGCTCCACTGCTTTAAACCTGCAACAGAAGAATGAAGCTAACAGATGTGCGCACACACGCTTGGCTAGAAACAATCTGATATACAGCTCTGGTTATTTCAGCTTTGCCATTTGACACTGTGGTATTATTGGTATGTTATTGAGAAATTCAACAGAATGAAACCTGGTTTGGATTAACTGAATGAATGTTGAGTTTGGTTATTTTCTAAATCACATTTTATAACATTTAATAACTTCCAGTAAACTGCTATGTTATAAAATATTAGGCTTTCGAAAATATTACATTTTGGAAGAATGTGAGCCTTATATACGGTAATATTGATGCTATCAGTAAATATTGGCCATTTATGCTGTCTCATTCCAGGAAAATTATGGAATATTGAACTTTAATCTCATTACTCACAGACTCAAATCATGACAAATGACATCCACTTTTTATTAAAATGATACAAAGCATTTTTGGCTACTAACTACTGATTTAGGCTACGGCATTTTTAAAGTAATAACAAGGTTGTTCAAGTTTAAAATATTGAAGATAAAACAAAACAAACATACACTAATGCATGTAAAAAAAAAAGAAAAGAAAGAAAAAGTACCTTTCTGCTCTGGCTTGTCTCGCTTCTTCCCTCTTATCTCCATAATCCCGACTGAGACAAAAATAAACATGATAGCTTGAAAAAGACAATTGGAAACTAATCACATTGAGATGAAAAAAATTTAAAAAAGCATTATCTGCTTAAACGTTATTGATACAGTCTTTGGTTATTATAAAATTATAATGGATGAGAAGAGCATATGTTTCTGCTGAGTTGTCCTGTCACGATTCAGTGAACGTAACGATGTCATAAATAAAGCCCATCTTGTCTCAGTCTCCTGACAGAGTTATGTTCATCTCTGTGGAGTCAAGACTGGAGACACCAGTTGAAAGCTGCCAACAGTACAGAGTGACGACTTGGTATATCTCATTGATATGAACTTCTGCTGCGATTTATCTAACTAATAAGAGGAGACTAACTTGAAGCGATTCCTTTCTTCTCTTTCAATTCTCTGCAGTCGTTCTTCTCGTTCCAAGCGTTTCCTCTCTCTTTCTGCAGCCAGAGACTCCTGATGCTGCCTGTAGGAAGACGTAAGCAAGCTTCCAAAACCAAGTCTAATTGAAAAAGACAAAGAAAAATTAAATGTTTATTTTTTCATTTAGTTATTTAATTATTTATGTATGCATGTATGTACGTACATATGTATGTACATGTGTATGTATGTATGTGTGTGTGTACTGTATGTATGTATGTATATATGTATGCATGTAAATATGTATGCATTTAAGCGTGTATGCGTGTATGTATGTATGTATGTATGTATGTATGTATGTATGTATGTATGTATGTATGTATGTATGTATGTATGTATGTATGTATGTATGTATGTATGTATGTATGTATGTATGTATGTATGTATGTATGTATGTATGTATGTATGTATGTGTGTATGTATGTACTGTACACTTAACTGTATTGAAGCAGATGTTCGGACTGACCTGTCGGACTTGGAGTCTAGTGTGGATGGTGCTGAGTTTGAGAGGCGATGAATGGGTGATGTGAGAGTCTGGTGTCTGCCAGAGAATGGAGAACCTCCAGCAGTGGTTCTGTTAAAGAACAAGAAAATACAATTTAGTATTTATTTTCCCCCCAATTTGTCTGTTTCAACAAAGACAGATAAAGACAAAGAGGTGACTGATAATTCCAAAACCATACAGTTTGTCATTAGACTTTGTGTTGTTGGATTTAGATTTAATGATGTTTCCACATTTGTTTTACAGTTTAACTGTCTGGTTGACTGTTCTCAGGGCAGGCAGTCAACATTTAAGTCTGTCGACTCTCTTTATAAGCATGCATTACTGGTTCTTATTAAAAGCAACGGACAAATAAAAATGCAAGTTTTGCAAATTCAAAAATTTCAGATGAGTTTTGAGCATGACAGGTAATAACATTTTGTTTGATTTATTTGCTGTTTATTTGTTTGATTATTTATTTAGCCCACATTGTATAGTGTGTACTGTTTATTGTATCTGTTTATTGTATATGTTATTCTTTTGTTGTTCTAATTCAACAACGACTTACTCATTAAAAATGCTGCTAAATTTTGTTTCAATCAGAAAAAAACATTCATATTTTAAATGCTGTGTTTTTCATACATTTTTTTCCCATTTACCTTCATTAACATATTCTCTAAAATGTAATTAATTTTTATTTCGTATTAAGTTGTTAGTCTTCTAAAAGCCCTTCTAAGGACGTGTTTTAAGTTAGGTTTGATGTCAATTCTCTCTATATGACATTTATGTTCCTATCCAAAAACCTTTACGAACGAATGCATAAATACTGAGATGCTGCAGATAAAAACTAAACAAAACTAAAAAAAAGAAAAAGTGTCCCTGAGTCCATCAATCACAGATGTCATCAGCTTCCTGTGCAGATATTCATATTGTTTATTTTTTCACTTTGCTTTTAATATATAACATGATTTTATGTATTTTAGTAAAGTATATAAATACAGTAGTCCCTCCCTGAGCCCCAAGTGAAAAACCGCAAAGTAGAAATACATGCAGTAGTACAAGTAGTAAGTAGTAGTTTATATATATGTATATATATATATATATATATATAAATATATATATATATATTTATAAAGGTGTTTTAAACCCTTCCCACACTCTTGCAATATTCTAAACAATATTTCTAAACTCTAAACGTTCTAAAAGAGCACAGAATATCATGATTTCCCTCTCTCTGCCTTCGCTGCTCTCAGCCACTTGCAAGCGTTTTTGGCCACGCCCATTTCTTCGCTCTGCACAGAGAACAGCTGATCAGCTGCAGTAGGAAGTTAATCCTGCAGTATGGGCTGCACAAAAGTGAAGCAGGTGCTAAACAATTTAAAATAATTTATTTTAAATAAAAATTCCATGCCAATCGTGCAGCTCATCCATCAATCAGCCATTTTTGTGTGTCATGTCCAATCTTATTTTGAAAAACCGCGATAGAGCGAGTCCGCGATAAACGAACCGCGAAGTAGCGAGGGACTACTGTACTGAAAGTTAAAAAGATGCAAGTCACTAGTGTAATAAAAACTAAACGTGTCTCTGGGGACTCCTTTCACGCCTGACATGACAACTCCTGGACTTACCTTCCAGCCCAGCAGGGCCTTCTAGCTGAATAAGAAGTAGCAGGTATACTTTCTGTCAGACTGAAGATAAAGAGCAAGAATAAAAGCAAAGTCAAACATTTAGAAGCTAAAAAAAAAGAATCAAATGTAACTCATACGGTGAAGTTAGTAGTGAAGAAGCAGAGGAGGGAGGAAGCACTCAATGAACACAAAAAGCATAGTGCAATTATGGCATTAAAAGTCACCTGACTCTGGTTTAAGTCAAGGAATGAAGAGAAAGAAAAGGTGAGGGTGGCGTTGTTGGGGTGGACTAAAACTGATACAGTCAGGTGGCTGATGAGAACACACCAAGGACTAAAGGTCCTCTTTTTAGGTGCGACGGACACAGGAGAAGATGACCCGCTCTTGGTGCTGAGATACTCGCTCTGCCCTTCGGGGTCACTGGCTGTAGGGAGGATGTTGGCCATACACTTTAAGTTCAGACACATGCTAGGATTGTCTGCTACATCTGGAAGCACACTAGGGTGAAAAAATACAAGGAAGTCTGAGTCCAGAGAGAATAAGGAGGATAATAAAACTTTGATTGGAGGAGAAACTACTGGGGAAGAGTGGAAAAAATGAGGATCACATTTTAGGGAAAGCAGCTGGCCACAGATACCTGTGAGCGCCCTGTCTAGAGGGCTCAATGACTGGGTGACTTTCATCATCTGCCTCCTCATCCTCCTCCTCTTCTTCTTCCTCCTCTTCCTCTTCTCTATGGCGAGAGGAGGGGTCAAGGTTTGAAAGGAGGAACGGGAGGCGGGGAGAGGGGATTTGACAGAGATGTGAAAGCACAGATAAATGGACCAGGAGCAACAGTTCACAGACAGGAGATACAGAAGACATGCTTGTCCAACAAAAAGCATTACAAATATTAGTGTGAAAAAACAAAAGACAAAATCTGAAAAATGTTAGCAGGTAGCAAAATTAGTATGATGATATCTGAAAACATTAGAAACACACGTTAACATGCAACAGCTATGACTACGTGCAAAAGAAACTTCACTAACAAGCTATAAATCCATTATGAAAAGATGAATTATAAACATTTTGTCTGTCTTCTTTTGTTGAGGGGAAGATTTAATGTATTAACCAAGATTATTTAAGTAGAGCTGTCACGTCTGGCTGTAGTGATTGGGTGAGATCATCACATATGAGCATGTTGCCAGTTTGCTATCTGGGTTCTTCTTGGTTGTCTGGATTTCATTAACAATATGGAAAATAGTGATCTTCAAAGGCTGCTTGAATTTCCTATGGTAGACTGGAAGTGGATCGCCTGGTATCAAATGACCGGCTGGAGTGAATTTAGTAAACCTGAAGACTTGACGTCTGCCAAGAACATCAGTAGGTATGCTACTCTGGATTGTATTAACACAGAGCTGTAATGAGATAGAAAGCCTAAATTAAATCTTGGCCTTGTGCTGAAAAGTCTATGCAAAATGTGAAATAAAAGATTCATATAATCTTTGTGAAAATCTAAAAAGTCTTGAAGTTTGCTTCATTGTAAAAACTGTGCTGATTAAAGTCTCACTGAAGAAACCTCGACATGAAAAAAAGAGCAAAAAGCTCAGTTCACCTTGACGGATGCTTCCTCTTTTCATTAGTGTTAAAACAGGATCTTTGACCATACGGGGAAAAACAAAGATCTAAATGATATTTTGTAGCAGTGGTCTCATATTTTTCATTCTTTCACATCCTAAAAAAAAAAAAAAGAAATTCTCAGCTTTAACTCTGGTAAAGTAGCTCCAAGACTATAATGTAATATTCAGTCAGTTATTAAAAGCTACCTCTGAGAAAAATCATTTGCGTTTCTTCTATTTCCCTGACTTTAAAATGTATAAGATTACCCCACTGGTAAGGGGTGTGACCTCAAAGTGACCTCATAAAACCACAGTCAGATAAAGTTCAAGCCAGCGTGGAGGCACACTGATGAAACATTCTTTTCCAAAATCTTCGTCTCTGCTCCTGTTCTCCTTTTCCCTCACCTTATGTCTTCATCCCGTTGGCCACCAGCAGACAGGAACCTGCTGGAATGAACGTGAGGGCTGTTGGGGGAGGCTGAGGCTGACGTGTGGTCTCTGCTGTTCTGAAGTGAATGTCTCCGGCTCCGTCTTCTGTCCTGGCCTCGCCTCTCATTGGTGCAGTCAACACTAGCCCTCCGCCGGTCCTTCCGGCCATTAGGGGGCAGCTGGGCTTCATCATCCCCATCCTCATGGCGAAGAGTCATCTGAATCAAAAAGGCATTGAAGTTTAAAATTCAATCACAGCCTGGACACACATTTAGCTTTTGCTTGCTTAAAAAAACAACAACAATGAAATAAGTCCCACTGTAATAAGACACAGTAATGATTAGTAGTGTGTGCTTCTTGACCTCATAGATGTTGAACTGTTCGATAAGATCGAGGTCGGTGCCTTTTCTGCTCAGGTGTCTCTGAGCTGTGCCTTCAATGCCCTGCTCCTCGAGACAGTCCACCAGGTCATAGTAGGAGTCCTGGTCTGGAAGGCCTGCCAGAGTCTGAGGAACAGACACGTCATTTTAAAATACACAGGTTTATAGACTAATGCTTCATTATCGCTGATGATTTTTAGCTATATTTTTCTGATGTAGAAAAACTATGAAACAATGAAAATAGAAAATAAACAGTAGTTTTAATCAGGAATGGGAAATGTTGATGAGAAGAGTATAAGTTAGTCATACAGTATATCCATCTATCAATACAATGTACAAAGAACATCTAAAAGACAGCAAACAAAAAAGGCAGAATGTGACAGAATAAATGATGAAAAAACATTATGTATTTGTTTTGTAAAATCGTATTTTCTTACCTTATTAATAAGCGTCATTGCAAACACCAGCAGCTCAGTATCCACGCCATCCTTCTCATCCAGGATCTCCATGACATTTGACCATGGTTTAGTATCTGTGCCACCAACGACATGCAAGGAATTGATTGTGCAAAACAAGGCAAACTTCCAGCAAAACAGCCTTCGTTTCAAAAATTATACAGACAAGAACCAAATCCAACCCATCTGTTCATCTTGCGATGTAAAAAAAACAGTTCAGAAGCATCACTTTACAAAAACAAAACAAATATTTCATGGCTCCAGTGGGAGATCTCCAGTTATAAGCTCTTGAAGTGTGCCAGTGGGAAACAGCAGAAATGTCTTTATCTTCAATCAAAAAGAAGCAACTCCATACTTCAGTCATGGTCGACTCCATCTTCTCATCAACTGAGGATCTTGCTAGTCTTTTTGCAAAACAACAGAAGCAGCAATGGAATAAGAGTGAACTGAGACAGAAGGAAACCTGACCCCTCAACACAGAAAGCAGCCCTCGCTGCTTGTCACTGGACAATGTTGAGTTTTAACAGTTGCAGGTAACCGAAGCCTTCTGCAGGGGGCCGCGTCTCAATAAGGTTTGATTCATGCACAACTACGGAGCAGCTCAGGATTAGTAATCTGATCACTTATTCTGTTTCACTGGCTTCACTGAGCAGCAGATAATTAAATTCCATATGATAAATCCTAGGATAACACAATGAATAATATGATTAGTGTACGCAACTGTACATACAGACATTTAAGAAAACATGTGGACACTTCATGACTTGCTTTTGACTGACACATAAAATAATCTGGATACTAAAGTTAACTCGTATCATCTTGTTACCATATTATTAGCTTTAAGGTGGTATCTGACTGGGCTGTGACATATGGAGACTAGTTGTTGACTCAGAATTGGTGAAAGTAACCAAGCGACCAGCATCGCAACCAACTTTAATAAAATCACAGTCTATTTTCAGACTGGAAACACCTGCAACAAAATGTACATGGATCCGAGATAGGTTGGACATGTTGATGATGACTCTAGTGAGAAAATCTGTTTCAGAAATGTTTGAACAAAACTCAAGCGATGAGATGGCGAGCCTCTGTGACTCAAAGAAAGAAACTGAGAACCACGAACGTCTGAGACACTCTGGAGACTCCCTCACAAACTTTATTCACCAACTAGTCGCCAACAGTTGCAACATAGTGATACCTTTAGCGTCCCAAAAAAGACATAGAATAAAACATTGAATTATACTGTATAGCCTATTGTGTATTTTTGTTTCTTAATTTAAATTTAAAAAGTACTTAATGGCAAAACCAGAAGTTTTTAATCTTAACATTAAAAATATACAGTGTATTTCCAGTGTCTTACCTCTTTTGGCATCCACAGTGTTCACAGCCTTTATGAGCAGGGCAGCATTACTTTCTGTGTACTCCACAAATACGAGCAGCAGCTTAAGAGACGTCTTAACCACCAGACGAAACTACAAAAATAGATAAATAAATAAATTACAAAGCCCGGATCAATGCTGAAATTAAAGGACTAGTAACATCCATGAATCAGCAGGAAATTTCAATTTCTAAATGCTTCATGTCATGACATTGTAGCAGCTGTTTCCTGTCTGAACAGGCTTGAGAGGTTTGATACGAGACAACGAGAGCTCACTGGATCATGTTTATTTCAAGCCCTTAACAAAACAGGGTAAAAAAAATATTAATACTGCAAATTTAATATTCTAATACTGTAGGATATGAGTCTAAATATGGCACGGAAACAAAAACACACTAAAAGTTTAGAAATCTAAAAAAAAAAAGTGTGGAAAAGTCAAGATTCTTTATTGTCATTCGCATCACATGTGGTACATGAGGTGGAACAAATTTGTGGTACTCAAGGTCCCAGTTGCATCCAACAAAAGTATAAACTGTAAAGAAACAGTAATAAGATCTAAGATACTGTATGAACTAATAATACACTAAGCACTAGTAGTACAAAAACAATACGCCGAACAACAGCAGCACAAACATGAGTCTGAGTGAGCAGATGAGTATGAATGAACACAGCAGTATGAGATCAGCAGCATGAGATCAGCAGCGCATATCAAGAATTAAGTTGCATTACAGTGATTTTATTTCACAGTGATAATCCTGAAAGAGAGAGAGAGAGAGAAAGAGAGAAAGAGAAAAAGAAAGAACCTTCTTGAACTAAACTAAATTGCTTGTGTAGCAACATGGCCACTGGGGGGCTAAGGTGACCAGAATGACAGCAGGATTGCTTCCGTGCAAACAAAGTTGCTCATGATTTAATCTGCTTTGTAAGAGCCATAATGAGATTGCTGAGATGGGATTACAGAGTCTGCAGTTTCATTACTAAATGAAGCTCTTTTAAATGTGTACATGTCTTACCTTTGAACCAATCAAAGTGTAGAGCCACTGGACCGTTTCATTGTGGGATATGAGGCCGTTCATCCCATCCACATACAGCATTATCTGACCAAGAGCTACACAGAGAAAAACAGCAACAGAAAGACGAACAGGAGTGGGATTAGACAAAACAGATGCTGTTCGGTTCATCTTTGTCAACACAAAACAGTAACAGCTTACTCAGTGTTGTGATCCAATGGTTAAAATTCACAGTTCAGCCTGCAAATGGACTAAATTTATCCACTATATGAAAAAACACAATTCATTGAACTTGTCATACAGAACACATACTAAGAATCGTTCACATGAATGTAATCACTCATCTTTGTGTTCATGAAAGGGTAACTGGTGTCTAAAACAGCCAATAACATAAAGAAGAGAGCAGACGTGGGGGGAAAATTCACATGAGCATCTGCAAGCCTGATATTTTATTTCATTTTCAGCCTGAAAAATGCAGGTTCTGATTACAAAAGATAATTTTATATAATTGCATTTAATATAGCTCACTATAAGTTGTTAGCAAAATAAATAAATGTCCCTGCTAAAGTGGAAGTGTTTTGGGATGTTGTGTGCACATGCATTTTCCTTCGCTGGGTAGTTTTAACAATCATTTGTTGAACAGAGCAACTTGAAAACACCAAAATAGTCTTTAGATGTATTCCTGAATTGATGATAGTAACAAAACATGCAGTATCTCCATCCATCCATCTATCTATCCATCTATCTATCCATCTATCCATCCATCCGTTATCGTTACCCCCGTCTTCCTTTTTGGGTCGCGGGGGGTCACTGGTGCCCATATCCAGCAGTCACTGTGTGAGAGGCGGGGCCCTTGACAGGTCTCCAGTCCATCACAGGGACACATTCTCTCTCTCACTCACACCTAGGGACAATTTAGAGTCACCAATCAGCCTAACATGCATGTTTTTGGTCTGTGGGAGGAAACTGGAGTACATGGAAAAAACCCATGAATAAAGAGAACATGCAAACTCCATCCAGAAAGGCCCCTGGACCGGATTTAATCCAGAAACCTTCTCGCTGAGAGGCAACAGCTCAACCAACTGTGCCACCCTGTAAGAGCTCTATTTAAAAATTAAATAAAATTAAAAAAAATAAAGTTGGTGAAAAGAGGACAAACCACCAGGAAAGACAAGTGGAACAGACATTAGCACTATTTTAGCAGTTTCAAAGAATGTCTGCAATGAAAAACATCTACAGTCAGATAAGTTCAGTTTGAGCCCACAGTGCGAGTGTTACAAGAAGGAGAGGAAATGTAAAAGAACATGAGCAAGAGGAGAACATACTTACAGGGGAACATTTTTGGAGGGCTTAAATCTTGAGAGGAGTTATGACTTTGAGGTTAATACGTAAGAAAAATACTTCAGTAAATCATGGTATTCTTGTTTTACTTCGTTTTAGATCCAGTTCAGAGATATTTCAGATGATATGCTGCAAAGGTTGTCACAACAGAGGCTTTGAAATTAAACATATTAAAATACAGAATTACAGATTTTGATATCTAAGCAACAACTCAATAAGCAGACGTACAGACAGAATTACAAAGAGTGTAATTTAATTTCTACTGTATTTAAGAGTTTCCTAAGACATAAAGTAATGAAAACCAGCAGCTTATCTAATACATTTTCTTTCTGTTTCTCTCCAGAGGCATGAAAATAATAAATATGTTGAAGACAAGCCAAAATTCCCAGGTGCAGCTGCTATGTGTACACGATGGGTTTAGTGTGTGTGCACATGCGTCGACATATGTCAATGTGTGTCCGTGCATGCCGATGACCCACTACAGCGACAGTTCATCTTTTATCAGTCAGGGTTAATTACTCCTAACACGTCTGGCCAAAGCAGTCCAGAAAGCTCAGCAGCAGGAACAGAATTATGTATCAAAGCAGCGCGCTTCAGTGACTTTACAAATATATGAAAAGTTCTTTCAAGCTCTGCAGGTGAGAGCCCCCCCGGCAGCAACCTCACATTGCAGACTACAGATACAAAGATGTCTGAAGTGCTCTGCAGAGGTCATTTGGCAAAATTGTTTTAAAGGCATAGTTCAGATGTTTTAGGTTGTTGACATCCAACAGAAGTTCTTTAAGAAGTGTTCAGATATTTATACTGCAGGAATGATATTCATTACTCATAAAACATCCTTATTTTTGTATATCTTCAAGATGCCCCATCGTTTTCCATCCAGGTCCACAGTCACCTGTCTTGCACACCTGTTTTCATTCTTCACAGCCCATTTACTCCTTGGTTTCCTTCACTTCTTTGTCAGATCCTCCTGGTAATTCTTAATTACTCCTGTTTGTTTGTTACATTTTACTGAACTGGTTTAATGCCAGCTTGGGTGTTCAAATTCAAGTTTTGCTTATGAACCTGCCTCCAGCGTGCATGCACGCGCCTGAGTCTATTGCATTACATGACTGCAAAACCATCACTTCACAGACTTCTCATTTGTGCACCTATGGATGAAGTGGCGTCTGGTTTTAAGGAATGACTTCTGAAAACGGCGGTAAAAAAAAAAAATCTCAGTGGATCTTAATGTCTTTTAAAGAGGTCATTACACAACATGAAAATTAAGTTGCTGACAAATAAGACTCTATCAGCCAGCCGCAAAGTGAAACAACTTTTAGACCACAGACTTCCTGGTGGTGACGTTATCACAAGTCGTTATGCAACAATTTCACAGACAGAAAAAGAGTGGTTTCCTTTCTTAACTGTGCAGTTAAGTAAAATAAAGTTGAAATGAATGTTCATATCATATGCAGATTTAATTTAGTGAGCAGTTAGGACACAGGAACACTTCAGTCATTCAAGCTGTTACAAACCACACCAGAACCCACACAAACATTACCTTCTTTCCCCTCACATCTATCAAAACTGCTGCCTCATGAAATCATTCATTACCAGCGGTCGCTAATGTCCATTTTCACATAGAGGAGCAGAAACCGCACGGACTGAGCAGCTACGGTAAAATTATACTGTAACGGTTTAAAAAAATTAAATTTCCCTTCATTATAAGAAACCTGAGAAACAAAGTAATCTAATTACCCTGAAAAACAGTTAGTTACCTCTGTGAACTCCAAATGGAGCTTAAACCGTTTTTTATTAAAATATCCATAAAACTGGGTTAAGTTACCTGTGTGTCACAGTTAGGCAATAAGACCAAATAATTAGACCGAGACATACTTTTACAGTTTTACGAGCTGAGACCACGATCGGGTTTTAAACTTTCCAACAGAAAATGATCAATTTAAAAGAATTCTAATAAAACGAGCATCTGTAATGAATTTCTTCTTCTTTGAGCTCTGATCTGAGACCAGAAATGACAGCCTCCATTCAAATGCTCAAAAGCAGTTTTGCAATACCTCACACCAAGTACAACTAGGGATGCACGATATTGGATTTTTGGCTGATATCCGATATGTTAAAACTTATTTGGCTGATAACTGATACCAATATTTTATATACTTTCCTTTGTCAGAACATAGCCCTCTTATTTAGGCTTATTTGCTACAAAAATTGTGCAACAACTGTAAGAGCTGGTGACATATATTCAGTAACAGCCATGTGATATACATAGCGCTTTGACTTATGTTAAATGAAAAGTGTTAAATGTTATTTATTAGCATTAGTCACCTGCGATGCTGTCTCACTTGTGGAGGCTTGTTCCAGGTTCCTAGCTGCAGTGTGGGATCCTCTGCACTCTTGTGCATGAAGGACAGACTTTTTAAGTTCAAAGTTTTTGTCTATCCATTGTGCTGTAAGACTAATCATGCTAACAGGGCTAATACTTGACGTCCAATTGTCTGTAGTAAAACTCACCCAAGTGCTATCAGCTATTAGCTTCTCAATGACGTCGGAAATGTTGACTTGTAACTCGAGTAAGGCTGTCGGAAAAATATCTCAGACTGGGGATGATGTAGTGAGGCTCAACGGAGTCCAAAAATCTTCAGAATCTAATATGCTCAACAACAAAAAAAACCTTCCACACTGCAGACATTTTGAATTTTTCCTCTCCGTCGTGATCAGATCAGGTAGGCGTGCATGATGTCATCACATTGCGCTGGTGCTGCAGGCATCCTTGTCACTGGGTTGTCATACAAAAACAGCACCTTTTATATCGGTGAGTTATTTTGATGGAATGGCTGATGTCCAATATTTAATTTTAATGCTAATATTGGCCGATACTATGCCGATAATATCGTGCATCCATAAGTACAACACTGACAGTGCTCAACCTCTTACCTATATATCTATATCATCTACACATGCAGTGTCTTTATGCAAACAGAAGATACATTTTGTTTAAAATCAACTTGGAAGTGATCTGCGTATTGATAATACAATTTTTCCTTGATCTGAAACTGCTGAAGGGAACCACAGACCCACAGACTGGAGGAGACAGACCCAGATTCTGTTTCTGAACCAGAATTCTGAGAGAACTACAAACATTAAACAACTAAGGTCTGATGGAGGCATTTCTTCAGGGCCTCTCCCCTTCATGAACCACAGCAATTATCTTCCACAGCCCCAGGAATGTGCAGGAAGGGCAGCTCCGTGACCACTGCCGAGGTGAGAACCCCTCTGAGGTCTTGAAGGCAGCACCAACACAAGCAAGCTAAGTCAGACATACATCTAAAAAACATTAAAAACAACTCTAAAAATACACCACAAAGCTAATGTATGAGTTTGAAGAACTTTTCAAACTCTTCCCACACATTAGGAATGCATCTCGTTCATTTCATTCACATTTTTTAAATTCATCTAAAATGGATCGGCCAAACTGTCTGTCAGCCCGTAACATTTATTTTCCCAGGACTTCAGGTTAGGAGCCAAATCTCTATCCAGTGCAGAGGAACTGTGAGCCTCTTACAGCGTCTTGTGGTTTTTTGCTTCAGTTATACTGTAACTGAACTCATATTTTTGAAAAAGTGCATCCCATCGGAATAAGTTGATTTTGCTGTATACTTAGGTCTGTAGAATATCTTTGTTGGAAATTTTGTTATGTTAATATTATTGTCATCTGAACAATAAAGTAGCAATATTATAAAACTGCTACTCTGTA